ATAATATGTGTATCATGCACAGGAACGTTGACGCCTGGAAGGCTCTGGTTTAAAGTGCAATATGAATCTTGACGTCGTACTGTAGGTGCATCACTCCATCCAGGTTTCGACAGGACATTGTAATGCATAGGTTTTAGATGATTCCTAGACGAGTTATTTGTATTTATATTAATATCCTTTTCATGTAAATATCGAGTGGCTTTAGGTAGACAAGTAATTGTTAAACCTAGATTAAAAAGGCATTGAACATCAGAAAGCCTACATAATGGCTACATATACAGTAGCAGCGAATGTGCACAAGATTCTTAATTTAAAAAATGGGACATTATGTTGAGTATGTTACATTATATAAAAATGGTAAACTTCTTTTACCATAAATACCAAATTCAATTCAAAGACAATGATAATGGAAAGATTATTATAAATGACAGTAGAATATGTAATACTTTTAAAAATTGAAAATATATAGTGAGTTGTGTTCATTAACAACTGAAAACCTTTATCAAACGGCTCCTAAATGTTTTTGATACAGTATGTTCCACAGAATTTATAAGAGGTCCAATTGCATCAATTTGAGTATTTAAAGAGTTCTCTGTGATCATATTTTAATGTTTCATTCTTCTGTAATTGTTATATTTTGATATGCATGGTCAGTGTTTTTACATTTATTTTATTTAAACAAAATTGATAATAATGCTGTAATAATTAAGATCTTAAAATCTGGCAACCATGTATACTATTACAGTAGAACATGGCCTAGCATTCAGTTGTAGGTAAACTAAGTATAGACTTGATTCCATTGTTGCATGCTTGGCAAGCTCGTTTTTTCATCGTTAAAACCCATTCAACAATTTTATCTGTCTTATGATATTTTTTTAAAATTTATGTAAGTGGTAGGAGGATATTAGTTATTACTTTTTGGTTTTTTTTTGTTTTTTTTTTTTGGTGGGGGAGGGGACGGTGGTAAACTGATCCTTCCTGTGCGGTTTTGGGCTATTAATACACCATTTATATGTCACTTAACCAAGTTTATTTTGATGATATTAACATTATAATAATTATTAAATAATGAAATGTGATTAACTACTGCTTACACTGTTTAAATTAAAAAAAACCACTGAAATAAAACCGAAGTAGTTTATTATAAATATTGTGATAATGTTAAAAATAAACCTAATTTAGAAATAGAATTGCCTATTTTGTGTGTCATTAAATTGATTGGCTTTAAGATAACAATAAATTTCCAATCAAATTAAGTGTCATTATAAGTAAGTGTTATTTTTAAGGGTTTGGCTATCAAAATAACATTATTTGGATAGGCAATTTAAAATCTTTGGTCAGGCAACCTTGTTGTGCTGCCATACGATGTGGGGTCCAGTCAACTCCGACGGGGGACGGGGGGGATTCTCCTGACCAAATCCTGACATTCTGAAATATGTTATTAAAATAAAAAAAATTCTGGGTAAAAAAGAGCAGTTCTCCAAAAGTAATGCGTAAGAAATTACGAAACGAAATAGGTGAATCACAGTAGGATATGTCAGAATGATTTTGAAATAATTTTTTGTTGGGTTTCTCGTAAGAAAAAGTAACACAGGACTATATATTTAAGCAATGATATGTTAATAATAAAATACCTGTTTAAAAGTACTTATATTAATCACAGCAGATATAGGAAAAAATGTCCAGGTAAAAATGGCCCCAGTAATAATGGCCCCAGTAAAAATTTCCCCGGTCAAAAATTCCCCAAATGACAAGTAGGTAAAAATGGCCCCATTGAAAAAATTCATTTAAAGAAATTACTTTTTTTTTAAATCTTCAAATATTTACTGTAAAATAGCAAGTATTGAATCAATAAATAAAAAATGGCCCCCAATTATAAAATTCATTAAAAAAATAAATTTGTAAATGCTGTAAAATACTCTGTAGCAAAAATTGAATAAATAAATCAACAGAAACCATATGCATATTTGAAAACTAAAATAACTTAGTCTTTAGCTGATTGATTAATTAATAGATATTTTTGGTATAGGCGGCTGTTAGGGCTAAGTATTTTTTATTATTATTTTTCTCTCTTTCTTAAAAAAAAATAATTTGATGTTCATAACAACCCATTTTTGCAGGGTTTAGCAATACCCGACTTGAATTTCTGGAAAATTGTGTTTCCGCTTCCGTGAAATTAAATAAACAATTAAATTATTTTAGTATTAATAAATGCATGATTTATGTTGATTTATTGATTAAATTGTTGCTATTTTTTAACATTTAAATAGAAAAAAAAAATAAAAAGTGTTATTCATGGCTTATTTTTTTATCTCTGGATATGTATAATTCCTGCAAAAAGTAAAATATAAGTGGCTATTTATTTGATGTTAGATTCTTTTTAATAACTGAATTATTTCAGTTAAAAAAAAAAATGTGTTTAATGATTAAAAGTTTTAATACAGAATTTTATTATTGGGGGCCATTTTTATCTACCTGTCATTTGGGGACATTTTTACCAGGGCCATTTTTACCGTACACCAATCAAAGCTTTCACAGAATTCTGGTTTACACTTTAATTTGATGTTGCATCCATTAACAAAATTAAAAACCTCAGCCCTTCAAGAAATCCATTGCATCTTTTGTAAGAGTAGGCTATGGATCATTTCAACCCCTGTCGTGAAATGATGTAAAATAAGAACCTCTCTATGGCTGCTACAGTAGTCATGGACCACACGCATATGCAATTCAGCACAATGACTCTGCGACAGCGGTTTTCTTCTATTTTACCTTAACCATAATTAAATACTGATTCATTGTATTTTAAATGCATTATTTGTGTCTGTAGGGCTATGGATATACCTGTTACAGACCATACATTTGAAGATTGTCGCCTTATGATGGAAGCAAGCAAAATTGGGCTGCCCATGGAAGCAGGCATTGTAGAATTTCACAAGATAATGGTTAAACTTGGGTAGGTCTTCATTGTATTGAGTTGAAATATGGTATGGATATGAGATTGCAGGTGATGATGAATTATTATTTATGATGAGTAATGATGGACTGTTATCGATAGTGGGTGATTTGAACAGTACTACTGTTTGTAGGTGATGACAAACAGTGTTATGATGAGTCAGCATTGCTGTTTCAGGCTGCCCTCTTGAAATATGGTTCAATAAATAATGATGGACTGTTATTGATGGTGGGTGATTTAAACAGTGCTATTGGTTGTATGTAGGTGATGATAAACAGTGTTTATTAATTTTAAATAATGATGGTGAACATGGTTATAGATGTAAATGATGATGATGATATAATAATGCTAAAAATTTGTATAGAACCAAATCAAAATCAGTTATTAAGGTGCTTGAGCATTATTACCCCAAGTCACTGGATAACATAAAATGGCAAACCAGCACAAAATACAAGCTTTTCTACAATCAATGCCACATCATCCTAGCTGGTACCCATTTATACCCTAGCTAGTAAGAGACAAACATAGATAAAATGCCTTGCATAGTGGCACAAGCAAATTGTGTTTTGACTACAAGGCTGAAAGTTCATGATATGATGACCATGACATGACATCATTATCATATATCTCATTTTTTGAAATTTATTTCAAAATTTTAGTTGGACTCAATTCCATGTTTCTCAAAAATTAATTTAACATGCTATTCCAATGAGGATGAAGATTCTAGATTTAAATAGCTGTGAGAACAACAATATAGAAAATCAACTTCGAACCTAAACTATTAGACACAACTGATAATACAGTATAACTAGAAATTGCAAATTGCAAGTGAAGTGCTGCGAAGTACAACTGCATATAAATGTTCTTCGAACAAAATTATTTATGCGAGTCAAGTGAAGATAATGAATAATAAAAATACAGTATAACAAATAATCTGAGACACGACCCACTGTCTATATTAGAACATTTCTAATTGGGTAACAAAGTTGTAATTTTTCATTTTTGTCAAAAAGTGTCTATAGTGGTGAATTATGGTTTAGGTTATTTTAATAAAGTTTCAAAAATTTCTATGTATGTGGAAAATGTAGTTGATTACCAAAGGTTACAATTTTTATTTTGAAGACTGCATGGTCTAGGAAGTGTATATTTTTTTATGGGCCAAGTTTCCAAGGGCGGGTTTTCTAGGGGAGAGTTGACTGCCAAAGAGTGTTGCAAAAGTGCGAGCCAGCGTGTTATTTGATCGCAAGTGCGAGCCATGACAATAGACATGAGACGTTACTCGAGTTGTGCGAGGTATCGGCTGAGATTTGTTGAGTACAATTCAAAAAACTATAGGTCTAATAATGAATTATTGTGATGTTAAATAGACAATGTTAGCTATCAAGGAGCGACGTTGTTTTTCATTGGGACCTTCGTCCCTTCAAGGCTAGGCCTATACCATCCTAGCTAGTCTAGGCCTATACCATCCTAGCTAGTCTAGGCCTAGAGTAGGATAAGGCTAGCGCGACATGTGGACGTTGGTACGTGTTGGTTAGTCTCACATCGCCTAAAGTAATTGATTTTACCCGGCAGAACGAAAGAAGGAAACTCCGCTTTTCAGTCGTCTTAGGCCCTTGTTTTTTGACAAACAATGACCTTTCAGAGGTCAAATTGCTGTCAAGAATATGAATTGGCTGCTTCGCAGCAAAAATTCAAAATATGATGTATTATATAGACTAATACTTTGTTAAAATATTAAATATAATTATTGCGGCATATTAGTTCAGGTTTCTAGCAATAAAAAAAAACAATAATCCTGACAACAATAGCATGGGAATTGTATGAGAAAATATACTGTTTAGCATTGGTTGAAATTGCACAAGCATGTAAAAATAATATTTCATTTTTGTTATAAAAAACAAATTTTTGTTCATCAGTTTGAAGTTGAGTGATGTTCAAGAACAGCTTCCTAAGTATGCTGAGATTGCCAAGTCAAAAGGTTACATCAGTATTGAAGATTTTGCTGAATATCTCAAACTACCGATATCACCGGCTTTAGAAGAAGTGTTTGCAATGTATGATAGGGTATGTTGATATCTGTTTCCCATTTTCACACTACGTATATATGAGTTTTAGTGTGTGAGATGTTCTTGTGATATTCAGTACTTTTGTTAACTCTTTTTTAGTATTATTATGGTCCAGTATTAAAACATTGCTCACAGCTATTAGTATTAAAGTCTTAATAAAAGTTGAAATCAAAATTTGCATTCCAATTTCGATGATTATCTCAATCTGATCTCATTAATGATGTGTTTCTAATTTTGGTGGAGAGACCTTGCATAATATCAGTATCTGTCATTAAAGATAGAATACAATATGCAGTCCATGACTTAAGGCAAACACTATCTAAATGTGGTAATTAAAGGGCATGGGCAACAAAGAATAATGCTGAAATGTTTTTATTGTATCACCCTTCATACAGGATGTATGCTCATTATAAACTTTCATATGAGATTGTTACTTTTACTTTCTCATCCTTATTACCAGATTTTGTTTATAAACACTTAACTAGCAAAAAGGTTGTCCCATATTGTTAATTGAACATGGGGCAATTTCCTGTGAGGAGCCCGATTGTAAGCCAGCAATTCGTGGTAGGGCAAATAATACAAATCCCACAAATTAACATTGTTTGAATGTTTGTTTACTCTATAGGATGGCTCAGGGAATATAGACTTCAGGGAATATGTGATTGGCTGTTCTTTGGTAGCGAAACCAGCCTCAAATGAGAAGACTCTCACATTAGCCTTTAAGGTAAACACATCAGACAAATAACAACAAACAAAAGTGTTTGCATTATTTTTTTTTTTTATATATAAATTTGAATACTGTCAAATTGAGTCAAGCTTTGCACACAGATAAAAATGTATCATCAATAGAGTAGGTTATGCATTGTGACATATGTGATAAAACATTGAATTCATTCCTATCATAGCTTTTTGGAGGTGAGAAAGGATACATAACAAAAGAGGAGCTTGTTCAGATTCTGGAAAGTTCCTTCACAATGGCTGACAATGAAGCAGAGGAACTGTTTAATCAAGTGGATGAGGCAAAAAGTGGGGAAATTACTTTTGGTAAGATACAATATAATTGATAAAATTGTAATTTTTTTGGATGTACTATGGAACTAATACTCCTTTTACATGCACTGCCAGCAGAATTTCAAATTTTCTCCAGACACAACCCTGGTTAGTCCATCACTCGGATGTCAAACTCCAGAGTTGTAGTATACTTGTAAACAACTCTAACTTTGAATCCGGTTGATTACTCTGTAGGTCTATGTTTGGTATCAGCTAGGCCTTTGCCTTTAAACATTATTCACCTTGATTTTGTAATATATTGCCTGTTTTATGGAATTGTTGGCTTAATAGTGCTAGATTCCTAAATTTGCTTTGAATACTTACAAACCAATTTTATTTAATTTGCTTTTATATATTATCAGTCATGCATATTTTAAAAATTATTATATTATGCGATTTTTGTAATGTGAAGAATTTTGTGATTATGAATGATTATAAGCATACTGTTAGTCATTATTCTTAACAATGCTGAAGGTCACCACCAATATTGTGTGCATGCTACAGCATTGTGTTACTTAGTGACATATCATTGACTTGGGGAAGTCAGGTTTACTGTCAGGACAAGTCCTACTGTAATCACTTCTCTAAATCTGTTATTCTGTGGTGCACCTTTGCACCAATATTTTGTATCATATAATTTAGTTGTTGTTCTTTTGCAGACCAATTCAAGGCATTTGCAGACAAAAAACCAGAATATGCCACACTTTTTAAAACGTTCCAAGAATTAAGCGAAGCTGAAAGCTACCAAGAGCAGGGCAACTTAAATTTTGACAAAGACAAGAATGATTAGTTTGATGCCAACAGCAGGAGTTTCTCTTGTAATTTATCTTTTTTAAATACTTAATTAATACAGCAATAATCAGGAACACTACCATTAATTATTTATATTTTGCAAAATTTTTAATTTAGTTGTGTGATAAAAACAGGGTATTAAACAGCATAGTGTCAGTGGGCCAAAAGAGCAAACAATATCCATTTAAAATGTTACAGGTGCTGTACAGAATGGAAAAAAAAGAAATTACAAGAAATAAGTACTCCATGTATAATATCAATTAAAAGCATCACAATTCAATATAACAAATCAAAACCTACAGTGAATAAATGACAACATACTAAGATTTAAATTTTAATGTTTATGTGTCTATCAATAAATAAATAAATGTTTTAGTAGGAAATGCCCATGTTTATGTAAAAGATGTATTTAAGATAGTTGATGTGTTTTACAGCATTTTAAGCTCATAGCATTATTTTCTGTGTGGAAATAGTATATAAAAATTATTTATTTTAGTTGTTAAGTGGTTAAATATTTTTAGAGCACACATTGTGCTTAGCTTTCAAGGATATGGTGTACATAGTTTGGAAATAATATTTAAATTACAAAACCCCTAAAGGGTAATCATGATATTTTATTGGGTCTCTATTGGAATAAAAATATGAACATTTAACTGAAATGCTCTAATTTTATCATACCAAGTAATTTGAACTTACCTTTACTAACAATTTTTTATGTTCTTTACACAAGATCATATTGGAAGTGACGGGAAATCAAAATGTACAACAATGATTGTATGCGTGACTCAGAATGTGCAGGGGCGGATCCAGAGATTTTTACCTCCCAAAAGGGGTGGGAGGAGAGAGCCGGGGCCGGGCCACCCCCCCCCCCAAATTCGCCCCTGTTGTGGGCGCTCTGCCTTTGTTCTTAGTTTGTTTCCTTCTCTATGTCTGTTCCATGTGGACTCTTTTATTTGGATGATGTTTTCATCAACTGCTCGATCGATGATCTAAGAATGAGCCCAGTCAATGACGTGCTGGATGGTGTGGTCAAATATACTGTATATTGAAGTCTCTGGCATTCTAGTTCACATGCGATATTAGTTGTATCAAAATCATGACGTCAGACATGTTAAAAGAATGAAAGGAAATCAAATTCTACCTGGTGCTTGAATCAGCACAAGGCCTTCCTTGTCAACATTGTTGTGACGATCGCCATGTGGAGTTCTTTCTGCCTTTGTTCGATTCCTCTTTTTCTTTTCAATGTATTATATTCATTGCACTATTCCACTTGCTTTTTCTGGATGTGTATAAGAGACAGACCCTGGTTAGTCCATCACTCGGATGTCAAACTCCAGAGTTGTAGTATACTTGTAAACAACTCTAACTTTGAATCCGGTTGATTACTCTGTAGGTCTATGTTTGGTATCAGCTAGGCCTTTGCCTTTAAACATTATTCACCTTGATTTTGTAATATATTGCCTGTTTTATGGAATTGTTGGCTTAATAGTGCTAGATTCCTAAATTTGCTTTGAATACTTACAAACCAATTTTATTTAATTTGCTTTTATATATTATCAGTCATGCATATTTTAAAAATTATTATATTATGCGATTTTTGTAATGTGAAGAATTTTGTGATTATGAATGATTGTAAGCATACTGTTAGTCATTATTCTTAACAATGCTGAAGGTCACCACCAATATTGTGTGCATGCTACAGCATTGTGTTACTTAGTGACATATCATTGACTTGGGGAAGTCAGGTTTACTGTCAGGACAAGTCCTACTGTAATCACTTCTCTAAATCTGTTATTCTGTGGTGCACCTTTGCACCAATATTTTGTATCATATAATTTAGTTGTTGTTCTTTTGCAGACCAATTCAAGGCATTTGCAGACAAAAAACCAGAATATGCCACACTTTTTAAAACGTTCCAAGAATTAAGCGAAGCTGAAAGCTACCAAGAGCAGGGCAACTTAAATTTTGACAAAGACAAGAATGATTAGTTTGATGCCAACAGCAGGAGTTTCTCTTGTAATTTATCTTTTTTAAATATGTTAAACATATTCATAAAACCTATGAAAATAAAGATTTTAATCAACTTTAGGCTTCCTGTATACTTAAATTTCATGAATAAAATAGGAAATTTAAATTTGCATAGCAACGGTTGCTATGGTGATTGAAATTGTAGTTTTTCTAAACGTAAGATTCTTTTTCGATAATTAACGAATATTTTGAGTAAGTTTCACCAATTGTTGATGATGAATATTCGAGTAATGTTATTTTTTATATTATATAGCTAAAACTATAATTTAAAGCGGAAAAATGGCGGCCATTTTGAATGCGTAATTTGGAGTTGTTCCCCCAAAGGGATTTTGGGTAATTTTGAGTTCTGAACTTCTCAAGACCTATATTTTCAGAAAATATCAAAATTAGCCGGTAGTACTTCCATTGCCACCTCCACCCCAAAATAGCCTCTAATCTGCTGGCCTAATTCTCCTCTTCTTCAGAGAAGCGAGTGTAATTGTCGCTCTGCGCAAACTTTTAACACAACCACGCTTGATTTAAAATGAATACATTAAAAGGCTTAATCAAGAAATGACAAAAGACGTGAAACTGTGACAGGAGTACATATAATAGTGTTATCGACGAAGGTATTCTGTTTGCTTACGTTTTTGTGTGAGGTAATGTTACCAGTAATGCTATATACTGATAGCGTAAATACGTTCTACATTTGGTCTACAAATTATATTATATCGGAGTGTTCAATTGATTTCCATTATCCACACTCAACGTAAATTGGCAGATAACGTCTCTGCGGAAAAAAAATCCTGTACACAAGTTTAGATAGTAAACAATGTGTTTCTTTAATCTCGCATTGATAATGTTTAGCACATTTATAATCCGTCAAACAATTGTGCTTTTGAGATCCAATACTCCTCAAAGCATTCTTCAAACGTAAGTAAATACCATCAGTGTCAACACCAATAAAGATTGTTGAAAACTAATCCTCGTACATGACGCAAGCCGAGGGGAGGGAAGAGGGATGGGAAGACCTCGTTGAGGAGGGGCAGAACATGGATTTTGCACCAGTCCGGCAGCCAAATGACATTTTTTCACCAAACCTGTTTTTTTTTTTTTTTTTTTTTTTTTCCTGGTGATGGAATTTGCTTGCCAAGACCATCAGTATTATTTGTTTTGATAAACAAAATGGCCCCAAAATACCATAAATTTATATCGAAGTAGGTTAGTTAAAAAATATAGCAAACAAGTTTTTCCTTTTGTATTTAAAAATGAATATATATGACGAGGAAATGAAATTCCAGAAATCTTACCTTGATGTCATATCTCCTTCATATACAAACGAGCTTAAATATGCAAATTAGTGTAAAATGTTAGGGTTTCCATATCTCAGCAACCACTAGTCGTAGTGAGTTGCTTTCTGTTTTAAATTGTTCAGAACATGTATATTTCTGTTGGCTTTGATGAAACATTACCCCCACAGTTTACCCCTCCGCCCCCAAAGTGGCCGGAAACGCCATATCTGACCTTTGACCCTACGTTTACAAGATTTTCATATCTTTACCACTGGTTGTGGAGAGTTGCTTTCTTTTTCAAATTGTTCAGAACATGTTTATTTCTATTGGCTCTAATGCAAAATGTACTCAAAAAATGTCATAGTTGACCCTATTTCTCAGCAACCGATTTTCGTAGAGAGATGATTATTATTATTATTTAAAAGTGTTCATGTATGTTACTATTGGCTCTATTTGCAACATTGGCCGCATATGCTATATTTGACCTAGGACCCTATTTTTGCAAGAATTCCATATTGTAGAAAATAAGGTTTTCATATCTTAGTAACAAATATCAATAACTGACAGCAGTTATATAAATTGGACAAAACAAATGGAAGAAAGGTGCGCATATCGATGTTGAGATGGCATCACTACTTCCGTATACACAGGTACCTTAGTATGGTAGTTTCTACCTTCCAGGCGGGGCGATTCCAATGGATGATAAAAAAAATTAAAATACTTACAAACAGGGATAAGACAAAATGAAGTATTAGCTAGGTATGCCACATTCGGCCATCTTGAGCTGCCATAGCCACAGCCATACAAATGTTGTATGAGAGTTGATGAGTATTATAAATTGCATTCTAATAATAATAATAATCAGTGGCGAAACTGGGGCCCTTTTTGGGTCCCAGTCACCAATTCCATCGTGAGATTTTAGATGTGCATTGTTATTCTAAATGTTTTTAACGACGAATAAATGATATAATATGGATCCAGAAAATTGAGGCCATCCAGGGAGGGATTTTCACAGTTGAGTCTATACCACCTCAGACTTGGGGCTGAGGTAAGGAAATTTATGAATGGCACCTTTAGATGGCCGGAAATGGCACTTCACAGACATAAAATTGTGAATATAATGTTTTGTATCTCCAGTTAAAAAATATTTTGACAAATTTAGTGGGGCCCTGGGCCAGCACCTCCAGGCCGGCATCTCCCCGCTCATATAATAGGCCTATGATATGTCCTACAGTCGATTTCAGACACACGTGCTGTTGCCATTGTGGGGCTGAGATAAGAATATTTATTATTATGGCACGTCTAGATGGCCGGAAATGGCACTCACAGACTTAAAATTGTGAATATAATTTTCTCCATTTTTTTTAACTCCATTTTTTTTTTCGACAAATTTAGAGGGGTAACGGGCTGAGAGGGGGCCCCGCCAGTCCGACGAGGCCCCTACTCTTTAATCGTTATAATATGATATATGCTCTATGGTTGATTTCAGAGACACAATATGGTGTTACTTATCAACAAAGTCCTTTTTGGTTAGGGTGCTAGATCGAGGAACCTATGGGTAGGGCCCCTTCGGGGCCCCTAGAATTTGGGGGCCCTGCGGACCACCGCATGAGAGCGCATAGGCGTTATGCCACTGATAATAATAATAATAATAATAATAATAATAATAATAATAATAATAATAATAATAATAATAATGATAATGATAATGATAATGATAATGATAATAATAATAATAATAATAATAATAATAATAATAAGAATAATAATAATAATAATAATAATAATAATAATAATAACCATTTTCCATGATCGGCTTTTTAAAAAGGCAGAGGTTGTTATGGGCGACCAAACTCATCCTGCCTCAAACCTATTCCAATTGATGCGCAGTGGTCGACGTTTTCGTTCATTGAAAGCCACTAAGGCTAGATTCAGGAATAGTTTCTTTCCTAGAGCAATTAGGGCTCTAAATTGTAGGTAAATATTCCATACTTTTGCACTTTGTTTCTTTGTTTGTGTTTGTTCTGCCTTTTGGAATGTGTTTTTACCATAGAGCAAAACAAATTTCTATGTTCTACTGAACAATGACAATAAAATATGATTGATTGATTAATTGATTGAATAATAACAACAACAACAGCAACAGCAACAACAACAACAACAATAATAATAACAACTTTTACTATTATAGTAATTCTTTATTGGTTCCCATCAAATTGGAACATTGGGACCAGCGACAGTCGCAGTGCAGCGCCACCAAATTTAACTACAGGATGTCGGTCAAATACCGATACAATTGTGTTTAACCCGCCTAACTCTCAATTGAAGAGCCAAGTGATCATCAGACTCCACTTAAAACACAACGCTGGCCGGGTTTGAACCGAGTTCTTCAGCACACAGATTAGGAAAACTAAGCTAATTCTCAGCCGACAGCTCAGCTCAGCTGTAGACACTGATCTTTGATATTATTATTACTAGGGCCTATTTTTATAATACCAAAACGTATTCTATGTTAGTATGTAGGTTTCTTCATAAATCTACATTTTGGTGGATTATTAGATAATATTATTAATGATTATAGAGAACCGATTATCTATCGTGCACGAAATGTTTTTTTTTTTTTCTTTTTCTTTTTTGTTTTTTTTATTTCCTATGCATGTAATGCAATAGGAACTATTGCAATCACTCCTCGCTTTTCCTTTGTTTTTTATTGTGTGTAGTGTATGTGTGTGTGTGTGTGTTCGTGTGTGTGTGTGTAGACATTTAAGTTTCCCGACAATTTGTTTTACCTCGCGATGCGAAGTTCGATGTGAAGTTTCTGCAGAGTTCAGTCAAGGCTCACGCTAAGCGATCGGCAAGTCGGCATGGATGAAACTATTTTGGTTTTACCGCAAAAAAAAAAAAAAAATCAACTGTTGTGGCATAGGTATTTTGAAGAAGGCCTAAAATAAAACAAAAAGGTTTTAATACTGAAAAACACCGGGTT